AAATCTGGTGTATCTCCGGCGAGATTTAGGGAGTTGCAGAGCAATTCCGGCGAAACCCAAGGAGAATACTCTAGTCAATGGTATGATATTTTGTTTCTTCTTAAAATCAATCTAATTTTGGTAGTGTAATTGATGACTTAAGATTCTTTGATTTTGAGGTTTTCTTGGCAAAAAGTAATTGAATGATTGCTCTGACTTTATTGCCCATATAGTAACTCACATTAAGTAATTGAATTTTTTGGTCACATAACAGTAGTTTTGAGTTTTCTTTCATGTTTTGCTATTTAGAACATATCTCTTAGCTTTGAGCTTATAAATTGAGAGAGATATATCTAAAAATCAGAAATTTCATAGAGAAGTCAAAAGCTTACACATTTTAAGTATTCAGTTATTGAGTTTGGAGAGTCTTGATGCTTATGATGAGAGAATAATGATCTGATTGTGTAGGTCTTGGTCAAGATAAAAGAGTGATGCTCAATCTAGAGACACCAAAGCCGATATCGTTGGAAAATCTGTTTGAAGTAGTGACTGATGATCTGCAGAGATTGAACGACAATCTTTTATCGGTTAGTATTATTCTCAACAACATTGTCTTTCTGGTTTCTTGAAACAGGACTATGCTTCTAATGTAAAATGCTCTTCTTTTTTATAGATTGTTGGTGCGGAAAATCCGGTTTTGATATCTGCGGCTGAGCAGATTTTCGGTGCTGGCGGCAAGAGGATGAGACCGGGTTTGGTATTCCTTGTATCACGAGCCACAGCGGAATTAGCTGGCCTAAAGTAATCTAATACAACTGCCTCTTTACTATTTACATCTTTTGACCTCCAAATTGTGTTAATCTTTTAGCAATAAAGATGATGTTTTCTAGTTGATCTTGGTGCAGGGAGCTTACTGTAGAACATCGGCGTTTAGCTGAGATCATTGAGATGATTCACACCGCAAGTTTGATACACGATGATGTGTTAGACGAAAGTGATATGCGAAGAGGTGAGATAAAGTTTCATTGTTTTTAACTGGAGTTATCTTTTTCTTCTGCAAAGTTTTAAGCATGTTATGTGTATTGTTTAGGAAAGGAAACGGTTCACCAGCTTTTCGGGACAAGGGTAGCTGTGTTAGCTGGTGATTTCATGTTTGCTCAAGCATCATGGTACTTGGCAAACCTCGAAAACCTCGAAGTCATTAAGCTCATAAGTCAGGTAAAGTTCTGTTTTTGCTTTTCTTGAGATTGGAAGAAGCTGCAATGATACAAAGAACATTTGGTCTGAATCTTGATTAATCTTTACCAGGTGATCAAAGACTTCGCAAGCGGTGAGATCAAGCAAGCATCGAGTTTATTCGATTGTGACGTCAAGCTTGATGACTACTTGCTAAAGAGTTACTACAAGACAGCTTCATTAGTCGCTGCAAGCACCAAAGGAGCTGCAATTTTCAGTAAAGTCGAAAGCGAGATCGCAGAGCAAATGTATCAATTCGGGAAGAATCTCGGTTTATCTTTCCAAGTAGTTGATGACATTCTGGACTTCACTCAGTCCACAGAGCAGTTAGGGAAGCCTGCAGCTAATGACTTAGCCAAAGGTAACATAACCGCGCCAGTGATATTCGCGCTAGAGAATGAGCCGAGGCTAAGAGAGATCATTGAGTCTGAGTTTTGTGAGCCTGGATCGCTTGAAGAAGCGATTGAAATGGTTAGAAATCGCGGTGGGATCAAGAGAGCTCAAGAATTAGCTAAAGAGAAAGCTGAATTTGCGTTGAAGAATCTGAATTGTCTTCCTAGGAGTGGTTTCAGATCGGCCCTTGAAGATATGGTCATGTTTAATCTTGAAAGGATTGATTAGTTTCAAAGAGTATGTTGCAGAGGAATTTGTAACAACACTCTTTACAGTATTTGTTCAAACACATAATTTTTTTCTTCTTTTTTTACTGTATGCCGTAAAGGAATAATAACAATAGTTTTGTTACTTATGATTGAAAATATACAAGTCACTCTTCGATTTTGTTGAAACCAAAATTGCTCTTATACATATACATAAACATGTTAAGTTAATTATTTTATCGAGATTCAACAAAAATATGATAACTAGTTTAATTATTTCACGTGAGATTTTCTTTTAACTTATAAAATACAAAATTGATAAAAATATTTTTATAGAGAAGTAAAATTAGACAAATAAAAAAAAACAAATGCTTCGTTAGCCTAAGGTTGCTTATAACATTATAAGTTTAGTTAAACCCTAAGATATTTTTAACTAGTTTAGTTAAAACATTATGAGAAGTGTATTCTTTTACAAAAATCGTTAGTTAATTATAGTTTAACTAATAAAATAGATTATGGATTTTTGAAATATAAACATTTCTGATGTTTCTAAACTGATTTAGTAGAGTTGACTTGTTGTTTCCCAAAATGCATAATTATGAATTCAGTGTAAAGTTGTATTCCAAAATTATAGTCACCTCATTTCTTAAAACAATTAGACTTTAGTGTTTATTCTCCTTGGCATTTGTATGTTAATATGACCAGATCAATGTTTGTTTTCAAAAAAATACTCTCTCTTTTCTTAATATATGTTCTTCATTTTCTTTCATATACGTTGGATAGGGTGAAATGTGAGAGAGATTAGAACAGTTGGTGAGATCATTGCTCTGTTCTTTAGATTAACAGTTAGTTGATGACCGTTAGGTTTAACACCTAAGTTTCAAAAAGTTCCCGGGAGACAGATTCAAAAACACACCGG